TAGCAGTCAACTTACTTCAATAAAACATTTCCAAACTGTTGTTTCCTTGTTAGCCTTGAAATAATTTGCTCTACGGTCGAATTTGTATAGACTCTGTTGCTCTATCTAGTGAACTATTAAGTTCAGAATTCTTAACAATAATCCCAAAAGAAGTATTTCACAATAATGTTAATCTAAATTTAAACTAGATGGTATGATGGTCAATGATACCCGACCCCCAGAGAGGCGTGAACTAACGGGACTAGGAACCATAGTGCAAAGATATACCTAAAAAGCTGTTGCTATTCGTAAATAAGGTGAGTGATTAATCTGACGAGCCTTGATTTGTGTGTAAAAACATTCAAAAAGGCCTCAGGGTTAAAAAGATCTGGCATTATAAGTTGCCTAACAGGTTTTGTCTGAGGAAATGTATACATAAATCGGGACAGGAATACTAGAAGATAGGCAAAATATGGATGAATGTAAAAAGCACGTTGTAAAAACACGTAAATATGTCATTAGATATTAGAACATGTATATATATATATAAGGTAGTAATCGGTATAGATGGGCAAAAGGCCACACCCTCTTGGTCTTCATACGTACGAAAAATGAAAACTTTCGAGTGTTCGTGTGATGCAGAGCTGTGGCCCTCTACGATATAGATAAATGGCAATATCTGGATAGTCAAACTTAAGACAAATCGGCTTTAAAGTCGTAGAAATTAGATGCAGAGGCTTAGGATCATGGAGCCTGATTAAGTTCGTTTTGAGACTCAGACCAAATACACAGGTCAGCGATGACGATAGCTGTAATCCTGTTATTTTCCTCAACAAATAGTTTGCATAAATTTAATAGAATGTAATATATTGTAGCACACTTATTCCGCCGTTGCTTACACAGGCTGTAAGTTGATCCTTAATATTAACAAGCTTGATGAGATCAAAATCAAATTGTTTCCATAAATTAAAATCAGTTAACAGATTGGCAAGTAATACGCACCTCAGAGCTACCGGTGTGTGTCATCTAACGGCTCCATAATTAGTGTGTTTGTCCGAAACGTTATGCATTTAAGACGAGTCTAACTGGAATAAATATTAAGGGTAGGTCACACAATTGCTGGTCAAACACAAATACTGGCATACCTTTCAGTTCGTTTGAGAAGGCGGGTAGAAGGGATTCGTAGATAGGCCTCATCGGATTCCTTGCTTATCTCATAAGAGAAGAAGTCAATCATGTGATTCGCCCATCATTGACGAACTTAATAATGAATAGTACATATTGTATCTTTACTGGTAAATCCTATGAGAAAAGCGTAGGTTTAGTTATGGGATCGTGTTTGTCTCCAGTTCTAGCTAATAACTACATGGCTCAGTTGGAATTCCGGCTTTTTCAAGAGTCACTCATAGCTCCGAAACTATTGGTAAGATGGTATGTATGATGATTTTGCTGTCTGGCAGCATGGCAAATAGTGTTTGGATGACTTACTTGGTTTAATGAATAGAGTAGATAAGACAATTAAATTCACTATGGAGTTAGAAAAGAATAATAGGTTATCCTTTATAGATGTCCTAGTTAGTAAATAATGGAGCAAACTGGGTAGAGGTGTATGTAGGAAAGCCACAAATGCAGGTTTCCATCTTAATTTCTTCTCAAGTCATACTTATGGTGAGAGAGTAGGAGTAATGATATCAATGCTGATAATGAGTTTACATCTAGCGGACGTAAATCATTAGGAACAAGAGTTAGAAAAAGTGAGGAAAATCTTAATTGAGAACAATTATTCATCAGGATTAATTGTTACAAATTTTAAAATACTAATATGGAGTGAAAAAAACTATTATTTGAGACAAAAGAAGGGATTAGACAACTCTTTGTCTAGGTTTCTAGTGCTACCGTCCTGCAAGCTTTCAAGAATGATGGGCCAATTAGTAATGAAATGGAGTGTCAAAACAATGTACTAAGAAGCAACAACGCTTTCTTCGAACATGCCTTCTTTTACAGAATCTTCATACGCCCTCTGCAGATCAGGTTGTTATAAGGTTTTGTGCTCATGTGGTAGTGTTGATGTGGGGGAGACTTGTCGACCCACACACAAGAGGCAATCATAAAACAGAACCGCCTGCAAAGGTTTATGGATTCAGAAATCGGAAGTGACGGAGCATGTGGTCGCTACGGTACACCAGATAGAGTGGTCTAAATACCAACATTTTGCCGGATATGATGACCTTACAGCTAAGTGGAAGATCAGGGAGTCGATTGAAATAAAGAAAACAAGCAACATCCTGAATAAGAGGAACGAATGTAGCAAACTAGGTAAGAGCTATCTCTATCTGCTCAATGGAATGAGGAAGAGAAAAGGTAAGGCAACAGGAAAAGCCACCGAGAAAGAGAAGACTTGACTAAGCTGGAGTATGTTTTTTTTACCTAAAATTGCCAACCAACTCGTGAGTATTGCATACACACACGAACACGCACCCACGAATCTCTAACGAGACCAAGGACTACAGGAACATAGGCTAGTTTATTTGCATTGACAAAAGCTGTGACCACATCCGCGCCCCATTCCGCATCACTTTGATTCGCTTACATGCATGTAGGACAAACATAAAACAGCCAACCAAATTACGAAATGCCTCATTAAGATCGCAAAGTGAGGTAATAATAAGTAGTGAGATAATAGCAAGTAGGATCTAAGCTGGCCATCTTTCTTGGTTTAGGTATTTTGGTGATTGTTTGTGAATAGTGGTTTCTGGCTCTGAAGATGTCCGTCGCATGACGTACGAAAGCTCAACACGGAGTCATTATGGTAGTAGGACGATGAGCCGATTCAGCAAACAAAATGCTAAGATAACCCTCCTTCGGTATCCGGTGAGGCCAATCTACGAATCTCTTCCACCCGCCTTCTCAAAAGAAGTGAAAGGTATGCCAGTATTAATCTACTAAGGGGTTCTTCTAAAGCTAGTTTCGCTTCATATAAGGAACAAATAAGATTGCTGATACGAAGAGAAAATGGGTTTCGATTTATCTTCTGAGATACCATAGTTGGAGGGACTTTCATTTCGTATGAAAGTCCCCCCGGACAAATAACAACCGATAAATAAAAGTTGTCGTCTAAGGTGAACAAGGGCTGATAGTTGCATTTTACTACAATAAGATGAGTATAATGTCCAAAACATTTGATTTCACTTTGCCTTGCCTCCCAAATAATGCTATCATCCAGGTTCGACTAGACTGCAGTTTCGGCCTCAGATTTAGACCTGCGGCAGGGCATAAGTTTAAGTCAATTGCAGAAACAGCACTGAGTCTGAAACCAGATACTTTAATCGTAAAGGTCAGACCGAAAATCAAGCGAATAAAAATACAGTCCTTCAAGCAGAAGTCTGACCGAACTCACTTGGCCCCAAACTAGCTCGCCAACGCCGAAGAAGAGGCACCATAGCCAGTGATCGAGTTCAAGAGGCTGAGTGTGAAAGGCATATGAACCGAATTGGATTATGGCTATTTGAAGGGCAAAAGTGCCCAGCCAGATGACAATGAAGATCCAGTTACTGATAATACCGCTAAAAACATTACGTTGATCGTGAATTTTGCGGGAATTGATCTCGTTGAACAGTGTCATCAGTACAAACGTATTAAAAATGACGGTTAGATGCTGTGAAGGAAGACTCATCGCTTTGAAGCCGTCGTCAACAAGGAGGAGTTTCGGGCCTATATACAAAATGGGGCAAAAAGAGGATTAAAAAAGATTAAATAACATTACCTTGAACAGAGTATGGCATATACATCTCGTGTAAAGATTAAATAAACCGAAAAATGTGAGTGCCTGAAGGTAGTTTTCATAGCGAACCAGTGGGTATACTATGAATTAGCGCATAAATTCAAAGAAGCCTAGAACCAATCTTAGCTTGACCAAATACTAACTTTGTCATAAATGTTTGTAGACTCAGATCATACGAAGAACTTTCGGCGTTTGGCTGATTCTATAGCTTTGCTACTGATCTCGAATGTACATTTCTGCCAATCTTATTCAGAAAAATGGGCATAAAACACATATGTATGTTGACATATCTTACATTTTAGCTGTAAAGACAAGTGAAGCTCAGCTTCTCTACTGATAATGCACTAAACCAGAAGAAAAATAGAAAATTAATTTTAAAATAATAGCCACAATATCTACTTTATAGAAATATTTATTTTCCATAGTTCCTCTGAGCTGAGGAGGATCACGTTTGAGAATCGTCTCTGTGGTTCTCTTCTGGTGTAACCATAGGCTATCAAAAAACCGCGGGACCTCAGATAATGTTTCGGCTTATCTTCAATTCACCTTGCTTGCATGCTCTCTGAGGCCTTTACTATCTGGAAACTATAGCCTGCAATTAGGCGAGTTAAAAGTATTTGTCTAAAATAAATTTCAATTATGCTGGACGAGTGTATATTACTAATACAAATCCCATAAATGCCCACCACTAATGCATGGACCTCCAATACAACTTAGGCTAAATAAGGAGATAGAATAACATAGATTAGTGAACTTCTGTCGACATGATCAGACAGTATTGAGATAGATAAAACCTAATTTCCTTAAAAAAAGGATTAAATCACGTTTATTGAGCTGATTTTTATTTTTTAGAAGGTTAGTGCTGAAGGGAATTTCAGATAAATCTCGACAGAAGAAGAAGGGGATGCCGTTTTCTTAGCAGTTATTTGAGAGTAACATTAGTCCAGGTCTAAACAGTCACCGAAACATTCCCCTTCGGCTACAGATTTTTGTGTTTTTGTGGGTATAACATGTAGGGAAGAGCCGGTTAGTCTTCTTGCCAAGTTACATGACAAACGAAATACCAACCCATTTTTACTGTAATAAAAGGAGGAGGATTCAGCAGAGAAAAAAGGAATCCTCCGTCGTCTTCTGGTAAGGCCAGCCTAGGAATCTTATCACTTCATCTACAGAGTGGCCATGAATGCACGCAAATAACCGATGAGCTCGAGTAGCCCTCTTTACAGTGGAAAATGACGACTCAAACATCAAGTCAGAGAAAATGCTAAAAAATCTAACAAACACCCTAAGATATTAGGAAATACAGATGAAAGTGGAATACAGTTGAAATTAAGATGGGTTAATTAGCAGAAAAGGGTCAAAATCTAGCAATAAACAAAAGGACGAGCTTTAATCCCACTCTACAACAGAATAAGTAGAATCAGCTGCGGACTTTGGATGAATAGAAATAATTGTACCTCTCAAAAAAATATGCTGACACGAAGGCAAAATATAGGGTATAAGTGCATTTAGTGAACCGAAGCAGGGACGAACAATAAAAAGCATACCTTTTATAAATAATCTACACGTTTAAGTAATAAAAAATGGATGAAGGAAATTGATTAATTCACAGTGT